GTCATAGACAGAACTCTGCCTATGCGGTTTGCCGTGTGACCTCGTCTCTCTATAGTGGCGCCTGCTACTGCCGGCCTTTTTCTAGTAGGTATGTCAAATTGACATTTGATTTCAGTTGTTGTCTTCCACTTTTATTGTCTGTAGTGTATCTATGTTAGTGTTTTCTTCCAGTTTTTCGAATTTTGATTTAGGGATCATTCATTCCCGTGGCTATAATTAATTATGTTTTCTAATTTTTAATTTTTTTATTTAGGGATTTAGGAATTTAGGGCTTTCTGATTTACACCTTTATGATTTAGAGAAGTTGACCTTGTTTAAACCTACTTGGAAGTCATTGAATAATGAAGTGACAACCATTTGGCAAAATACTGGGGGGAATTCGAAGAAAGATTGAAGGCTGTTCTAAAGGAAGTTGAAGAAACTAAAGGATAAGTTATCTTATTTATTAATGAAATTCATTTTGTTTTGGGTGCTGGGCGCACTGAGAGATCAATGGGAGCCACAACTCTTGAGGAGTAGAGGAAATATGTGGGGAAAGATGTTGCATTTGAGAGGCGTTTCCAGCAAGTTTATATGGCTGAACCAAGTGTTGTCGACACAATCAGCATTTTGAGGGGGTTGAAACTTGAGAAGTATGAAGGGCATCACGGTGTTAAGATTCAAGAAGAGGGCTTGAATTTTTAGCTTATGGGTCATCGTCCAATGCCTCTCTTGAGCGAATCTCTGTAAAATTGTGCAACGGGTATGATTAGGAGTGTCAATGAAGGCTATAAGGGTCGGAAATTGTGGTGTTACCGGCGCGACATTGGCCCGTGCCGCGTGTTTTCGACAAATACTGGGTTTTTGTTTTTTAATTATTGGTGAAATAATCTGGCGTTGATCTGATTACAGGGAAACATCTGTCTGACAAGGCCATTGGCCTTGTAGATGAGGCTTAAGCAAATGTAAGAGTTCAACTCGAGAGTCAACCTGAAGAAATTGATAATCTAGAAAGGAAGAGTATTCAATTGGAGGTCGAACTCCGTGCTCTTGAGAAGGAGAAAGATAAAGCCAGCAAAGCTTGGCTTGTTGAAGTGAGTATTTTGCATTACAATTGCTGGATTGATCTCAAGTCTTATCTAAATATGGTATTATTTCAATCTTACAAGGTCTGACAATCCTAAGAATTTTTCAGGTAAGAAAGGAACTTAATGATTTGAGAGATAAACTCCAGCCTTTGATGATGAGATACAGAAAGCAGAAATAAAGAATTGATGAGCTCCGGCGACTCAAGCAAAAGCGAGACAAGCTTTTGTATGCCTTACAGGAAGCTGAAAGAGATATGATCTTGCTAGAGCAGCTGACTTGAAATATGGAGCAATTGAGGAAGTGGAAACTGTTATCGTTCGGCTTGAGTCAGGTGCAACTGAGGACGGAATGCTGGCAGAAACTATTGGACCAGAATAATTTGCAGAAGTTGTGAGTCGTTGGCCTGGCATACCTGTAACAACATTTTGTCATATTTTGTAAATTGTACTCAACATTTTTGTTTATGGAATTGCAAACTATGAAAAACATGATTATATTTTTTAATGCAGCTCTAGCAACTAGCAGGGAGCAAAGCTCCTGGAACGGACGATTCAAAGAGGGAACTTTTCAAGAAGGTGATTTTATACATGACTATTGGGATTTACGTGTCAGCTGTTTTTAGCGAAATGGTGATGTGCTCGGCGACCTGGATATAGTGCTAAAAACTTCTTCAAAGTACATAAATCTATGACCTTTCTAATTATCAAATTTCCTCCTTTTGTTTCATCAGGTTTAACTTCTCTACAGGAGATCTGGGGTCTGGAAGCAAGTACATCTGAAGAAGCGGCAAGGGAGAGAGAAACATTTCTTAGCAAGCCAGAAGTTAGGTGCTTTAACAAGACTTTTCAATGAGACATCTGAAGTATTGGAAGGGTCACGAGCTAATCCAGCTAAGAAAAGGGAAATTGAGGACAATTCGAAGAAGTTAGGTGCCTTGTTTTGTAGGATGGCTAAATTGTCGGTCGAAGAAGTTAACTTTGATATGGTTCAATCATTTTTTTTTGAAGTAGTAGTCTTTAGAGAATTGTTGAGATAAACTTTACATTGACATATTGTATTGAATCGTATTCAATATTTTTATTTATCGAAACAATGGAAACCTTGATTATTTATGGATTAATTTTGTTTTGTTATTATTATAGGTTTGCTGGTAATCAAATAAATAAATAATTTGAAAAAAAATTAAATTGATATTTACGGCATGCATAAGCATGCCGTAAATTACAAAACGACTTTTTACGACATGCATTTATTGCATGTCGTAAAAAGTGGGATATTTTTTACGGCGTACTCTGCATGTCGTAAAAGGTAAACAACTTTTTACGGCATGCAGTGAATGCACGCCGTAAAAAGTGGGATACTTTTTACGGCATACAACTGAATGCCGTAAAACTTATTTACGGCGTGCATAGACGGCATAATCTGCATGCCGTAAAAAGTATCTCACTTTTTACGGCATGGCTTTATACGGCATGCGGCCGCATGCCGTAAAGAAGCATTTATGCATGCCGTAAAAGGTAACATTTGTTGTAGTGTTGTGATGTGGATTTTCGGCTTATTTTGGAATTCCGTTTATGTTTAGCTTGCCATAAATCAATAAAGGAGATTTAAAGATTGAGGGAATCTTAAGAATGGAGAAAAGAAAAAACAATAGTGATGTTTGTAATTATAGTTTACAAAGTTATACGTGTTTTAAACCATGGATTTTGAGACAACATGTTTGAAAAATTTTTGATTTAGATTTTAGCAGTTTTGTATAAGTGTAGAGTTTGAAACTACGCTTTCATTTATAGCATACTTTAAAATGGTAACTTTGAAGTTTTGTTTGATAACTTTAACTTTCCAATTCACTGCTTCTATGGCGTCTTACAATCAAACTTTCTTTTTGTTACAAAAATATTTTTATAGTCACTTTTTTAAATTTATGTCACATTTTTGTTATTTTTTGTCACATTTTTGAGTGTGTCAAAAGTGATTTATGCACATGCATTCACACAGTGTCTAATATTTACATGTAGAGGAGAGTTTTATGTCATCTTATAGTATCATAAGTGATCAATTTCTAGTCAGCTTGTCTTCATGATGATCACTTTTTACCAATTTGAATGACCATGACTTAACTTAGATATTTTTTTCATTTTCGCATTACTTATCTAGAGGTTCACTCGAATCTAGGCAAATATGAGTTGACACTCATGCGTAGGCTTCCGATTTTATGTCACTTTTATTTTAGTTTTTGTGACTTTTTCAACTTTATGTCCTTTTTTACTTTATGTCACTTTTTTTTATTTATTATCACTTTTTTGAGTGCATACACTCTTTTAGTTATTGTATATTAAAAACATATTTTCAGTCATTATAACATATTACAAACGTGTATGTTACAGACTTTCCTAATGCATGTATTTTTTTGTTGAATTTTATTTTAACTGTATCTTTTTTCTTTTTGTAGAATTGAGATTTGTTAATCCGTCAATCATGTTGGTTTAAAAGAAAAGTAACATATCATCTCCATACGAGGTGATAACATAAGTACCAAAGTATCTCAACAAAAGAGACCCAAAAGTGTTTGTAAATTTTTCTGCTGACATTTAGATAAAGATGTCGTTGATGTATGTATAGTTTATTTGATTACATCCTTCCATTTTGGTATATTGTATCATAAGGTAGTTGATGACTTATTTTTTGTCTTGTGGAATTTGAGGAGTTGAATTCTTTTCCATTGGGTATAGAAGTTTTTAATATGACTCTATCATCCCTAAAGTGTGCATTTAATTAGAGAATGAAGAATATTTTATGAAAAATCATAAAAAAAAAAAAAGCTTTACAAATGTTAATTATTTACTTTATAAGGTTTAAACTAAACCTAATCATGAAATCCAAATAAAAGTGAGATAAACAATGAACTATAATCATTAGAATTCGTAAGCGAGAGATTATTTAGCTGAAATTTGATAATTGTGTTTGTTACTAAGTATTAGATACGTTTCTCTTATCTAAATAATTTTAAAATGACAAAATTGGTGAACTAATTGAACAATGAGTCATAGACAATAAAAAAAAAAAAAAAACCTGTAATTTTGTTTGTGAAGAGTTTTTCGATCTTTTTGAAGAGTTTTCAATATTGAAATAGTCTTGATCTTTTTCCAAAGCTTTGAATAATGAACGAATTTGTGGATGATTTCCTCTCTCTTTTTTCAATTTCCCCCCTTTTTTTAATTTTGGAGGCTAGTTTTTGTTGATGCCGTGATGTTTATGTTTGAGCGTATTTTGTACGTTGAAATATGCTTAATTATCATTTAATCCAAATTTATCATTTTTTTCAAATCTATCCCAAAATATAGTGTATTTGTGTAAGTACCCCTAAATTTTATGATTAAACCTTGTATTAGCTTATTTGTTTGAGCTCGTGACAAAATAAACTTTCAAGTCAAGAAGGTTTTAATTAAAGTGTTACGATGAATTTCACGATATAAACACAACACTAGTTAGCGATGTTAAAGTTTAATTGCCCCCGTCAAATCTTCATTGGGTTGCCGCTGAAAAAGTGGCCAATTACGTAATTTTATCTCATTTTAGTAAATAAACAGGTCATAAAAACTTTCGAATGACCAATTTCAATTTGTTTTGAAATTCGGCGACCATTTACGAAATTAACTCAAATAGTTCTTTGCCGTGAGAAAACTCGCAACTGTGTGGCGGCACTCGTCCTCACCACATCGTGCCACGTTTTCTTTTCCTTTTAGACAATATTACCCCTCAAAATTTCTAATACTTTCTTGTCATCTTAGACATATCACCGTGTCCTTTTCAGTCTTTTTCTTAATCCAAAATATCTTCTCCCTCCATTCTTCTCCAACAGAATTTCTGAACCAAAAAGCCTCCTTATATTTGCCAATTCTCTCTTCCTCTGAATACTGCACCGTTTTCCTATGGCTGTAGTATTAGGTAACAAAGCTCCATTCCTAGACCTCGTAACCTCGCCTCCTTGTACCATCATCCCCGACTGGAGCAAAATCCGGCCGCTCCCCTCAGACGTCGTTCTGCACCTCGTCAAAAAAGACCACCAGAACTTCAATTTCGATTCGTTGTTATTCGAGAACAAAGAGAGAAACTTGAATATTAGTGGGAAATCGAATCGGTCGAAGGTGAATGAAGTGGAGTACGAGAATTCTAGTGACGACGAAAATGGAAATGGAAATGAATTTGAGGAGGAAATAGGGGAAGATGAGGGGTTTGATTGGGAGAAGGAGATGAGGAAGAGAGTTAAGGAAATTGAAGAAATGAGGGAATTGGAAAAGAAAGCTGAAGAACTGCAGTATAAAGTTGATCAAGAGTTTGATAACAACAGCGAGGATGGTCCGGGTGATATTAGAGAAGAAACTGAAGAAGAGAAGCGGATGAGAGTTCGAAAAGAACTTGAAAAGGTTAATCTTATACTCTTTCAATTCCCTCAGTGTTTTAGTTTTTGTTAAAATCTTTGTTTTTCAACAGTTGCTGGTTAAGTGGAATGTGGAATTATGGAGAAAAAATTATTCTTTAAGAACGGGGATGGAACGATGAGAGCTGTAAAAAACTGAAAAAGAAAGAAAAGATAATTGGGCTTTCATCCGTCAAATAGAACGGAATAATTAGCCATGTATTAAATAGTCTTTTCCTGAAGCTAGTAGTAAATTAGCCATGTATTCCTTTGGTACGAGAATGTAGGTAGCAAAGGAACAAGCAGAGCGAAGGAAAACAGCTCAGTTAATGTTTGAATTGGGTCAGAGGGCTTATGGAAAGGGTATGTATGGTCGAGCAATTGAATTTCTTGAAGGTGCGCTGACAATCATACCCCGGCCCACTTTGTTTGGCGGTGAGGTTGGTCATATACCATACTTTAATAACGATTTTGTTTCTGAAAAATGATTACTCCTCAGGCAGATATTATGTCATGAACTAACTATGACATTATGGTGTGGTGTTCAGATACAAATATGGCTTGCTATGGCTTATGAAGCAAATAATCGCCATGCAGATTGCATTGCTCTTTATCAGCAGTTGGAAAAGAAACACCCGAGTGTCAGTATTCGACGACAAGCTGCAGACTTGCGCTACATATTGCAAGCACCTAAACTCAAGATATCACAGGAAGAAATGGTCACCATCCCATTGATAGGTTCAAGCTATGACAGGTGAGATTGCTTTTGGACATTATGCTATTCATTATTCTCAGAAATGATGTTTTTTTTTTTTTCTTTGGCTAACTCAAGTAGTATTATGTGTCCCAAGTTTCTTGCTCGGCAACCAATTATAGGCATCAAGGAATGAGAGATCAGCACACAAATATGTCGCCTTTCGTACTTACTGGTTTAATTCAAATAATATACAAATTTTGAGTTGGAATTGGAATTCGGGGATTGTCGAAAAGTTACAATTTCCGTGGGCTTGCATGGATATTAGTTTCAAGAATTCTAGTTTATACCTTTTGAATCTCTCTGATTTATATGGTTAGCTTACAGTTTTCAAACAAGATGTTTGGTAGCATTGGTGCTTTTATAACCCTATTTCGCAATAACTATCATCGGATTCACGGATAAGTTGAATAAAGAAAATGGCTGTTTTAAAGAAAGTATTGGATCGTATACAAGGTATTTTAATTTTTCTAATGTCCACTCCTTCGGAAAGAGAGGTGTTGCTTTGCACGTGATTACGTTAAATACGCAGCGACTGTATATAAGATCTGAGAAAAAGCAGACAACAATTTCTAATATGCGGCTAACACTGGGATTTGAATCAGAGAAGATTTACTTCTCCGAGTTGTATTTGAAAATTGGTTCTCTAGATGATAGTGTGAAAATAGGACGGTCTGAATTTAGCAGAAGTAGCTCAAAAGTTAAAATGCAACACTTTAAATGCAAATCGAGTTTTCGGGTTTCTTTAATTTCAAATTAAATATAAAACCACGGAGCTGAGCTGAGCTTTTATTTGAACCAAAAAGTTTTTAGCCAAGCTTTTCAGGTGTACAAGTGCAGTTGGTTAAATTTCTCAAAGCTTTGACTAGTCGAGCTTTACTTAATTGACCTCTCAAAGCTTCAGCCTATGCTCCTCCTCCCAATGATGTTGAGAACTTGATTTTAGCTTAAGTTAAGGTTCAAACATAAAATTTGAGTAATTCTAGATGTTACCTGTGTATACCAAATTCTCTAACTTATTAAAATATAAATACAACTTCGCCTGATGAAATAATGTAATTCTTCAAAATCAAATAATTGGAAAATCATTTTCATGTCTTTTTATATAAATGTTGTTACTTACTTGTAAATGTGATGTGTGCTAGCTTAATCGAGGTAACCTGAATTTGTACTGGCTCATAAAGAACTAAGGTATAAGCAATTGCCTGAAATTGTGGAATAGTCATAAATTTTCTGTGCAGCGGCCTGAACATTTGGTGCTGATACCTATCGGGATAGGTTCTTGCATTTCGTGTAGAATTTTGCTGCTTGTGATTGAGCTAACATCATTAGTACATTCTTGTTTTCAGTTATGCAGCAACATGGACTGACAAGAACAAGGACAGAGACGAAATGAGAAGTGGTTCCACGACTAACCAGCTTCCGTCGACCCGAGACTATTTGGCAGACTTTCTGGTTTGGAAACCGCCGATCGGTTTTGAGAATACCCAAGCATTCTGGGTAGCATTAACTCTGTGGATTGGTTTGGTTGGAGTTGCACTCTTTTTACAAAGTTGAAGTTCACATATTTGTGCAATTATTCTTTTATCTTGCATTCTTTCTTTGTATTGTTAGTTGTTGTATAATTTATTCTCATATCTCTATAATTGTTACTATTAAGCGGAAGAATGACCACCGAAGACTTTCCGGGCTCAATTTATCATAAACACCAAGATCGACACCACAAAGTCCCAACCCAATCTCTAACACCCAACCCCCAACACCGGTTGCTTGTGGATTGCTCACAAAGGACACAAGATGAGAGGTTATTGCAGACACACAGCAGCCATAAAGGCTAAGAGAAATGAGAAGAAGAGCACACTGCAACAAGAAGCAAAGAGCAAAGAAGGAGTAGCCGATATTCTCGAAAAAATGGGGGCTTGGGCAATAAAGTATAACACAATACATAGGGGATGTCAATATATAGTAACTTATTAGGTTTTTANAGAGGTGTTGCTTTGCACGTGATTACGTTAAATACGCAGCGACTGTATATAAGATCTGAGAAAAAGCAGACAACAATTTCTAATATGCGGCTAACACTGGGATTTGAATCAGAGAAGATTTACTTCTCCGAGTTGTATTTGAAAATTGGTTCTCTAGATGATAGTGTGAAAATAGGACGGTCTGAATTTAGCAGAAGTAGCTCAAAAGTTAAAATGCAACACTTTAAATGCAAATCGAGTTTTCGGGTTTCTTTAATTTCAAATTAAATATAAAACCACGGAGCTGAGCTGAGCTTTTATTTGAACCAAAAAGTTTTTAGCCAAGCTTTTCAGGTGTACAAGTGCAGTTGGTTAAATTTCTCAAAGCTTTGACTAGTCGAGCTTTACTTAATTGACCTCTCAAAGCTTCAGCCTATGCTCCTCCTCCCAATGATGTTGAGAACTTGATTTTAGCTTAAGTTAAGGTTCAAACATAAAATTTGAGTAATTCTAGATGTTACCTGTGTATACCAAATTCTCTAACTTATTAAAATATAAATACAACTTCGCCTGATGAAATAATGTAATTCTTCAAAATCAAATAATTGGAAAATCATTTTCATGTCTTTTTATATAAATGTTGTTACTTACTTGTAAATGTGATGTGTGCTAGCTTAATCGAGGTAACCTGAATTTGTACTGGCTCATAAAGAACTAAGGTATAAGCAATTGCCTGAAATTGTGGAATAGTCATAAATTTTCTGTGCAGCGGCCTGAACATTTGGTGCTGATACCTATCGGGATAGGTTCTTGCATTTCGTGTAGAATTTTGCTGCTTGTGATTGAGCTAACATCATTAGTACATTCTTGTTTTCAGTTATGCAGCAACATGGACAGACAAGAACAAGGACAGAGACGAAATGAGAAGTGGTTCCACGACTAACCAGCTTCCGTCGACCCGAGACTATTTGGCAGACTTTCTGGTTTGGAAACCGCCGATCGATTTTGAGAATACCCAAGCATTCTGGGTAGCATTAACTCTGTGGATTGGTTTGGTTGGAGCTGCACTCTTTTTACAAAGTTGAAGTTCACATATTTGTGCAATTATTCTTTTATCTTGCATTCTTTCTTTGTATTGTTAGTTGTTGTATAATTTATTCTCATATCTCTATAATTGTTACTATTAAGCGGAAGAATGACCACCGAAGACTTTCCGGGCTCAATTTATCATAAACACCAAGATCGACACCACAAAGTCACAACCCAATCTCTTACAACCTTCACCCAACTCCGGTTGCTTGTGGATTGCTCACAAAGGACACAAGATGAGAGGTTATTGCAGACACACAGCAGCCATAAAGGCTAAGAGAAATGAGAAGAAGAGCACACTGCAACAAGAAGCAAAGAGCAAAGAAGGAGTAGCCGATATTCTCGAAAAAATGGGGGCTTGGGCAATAAAGTATAACACAATACATAGGGGATGTCAATATATAGTAACTTATTAGGTTTTTAGGTTAGGTAATGGATTAGGCCAAAAAATAGAACAATAGATAAATAATAAGTGGGCCAAACACCAAAAGCCATCCAATGAATGAAGGGTTGGGTCATGAGCAGCTCTAATTGAGTTAGGTTACTTCTAATGACCCAAAATAGTTATAGGCTAAGGTCATTCCATTTGAAATGTCGATATTTCACTTCAGTCATTTGGTCGATGCCGGCTGAATAACTAATGATTTAACATCATAGCCCAGGAGGGTTTTTTACAACAATTTGGCCAACAAACTTCCACCTTAGCGTCAAACGACCTGCAAATAAAACATTTTCACCATTAGTAATAATTCAAAAGAGGAGAACCGATAAAATTGAAAATTATTTACCTCCACTGATGTTTAGAAGGTCTTTGCAATTTCTAAACTAGCAAGCACCTTAGTGCCCATGTCCGTGAGATTATATTGTATATGGACGAACCTTTTCAAGTCTTACCACTTTCTGTGTCACAATATCTATAATAAAATGTAGTCTAACATCAATGTGTTAATTATATTGTGTGTGTATTTTCTCAAGCCTTACTACTTCTTGATACATAATATCTCTAATGAAATGTAGTCTAACATCAATGTGTTTGGTGCGTTCGTGAAAAATAGAATTTTTGCATAAATGTATAAAATATTGACTATCGGAATACCATATAGTAATTTAAAACACAAAGTTCATGAAGTAGGCTTCTAAGCCACAAAGCTTCTTTAATTGCTTCAGTGGTGGCAATATATTCAGATTCTATTGTGCACAGTGCAACTATGTGTTGTAACTGTGATTTCCAACTAACATACGAGTTAGACAAAGTAAATACATAAGGGGAGATAGATTTTCTATTATCTCTCTCCCCCGTATAGTCCGCATCTAGAAAACCCTTCAACTTCACACCTTCTTTATTAACACCAAACTTTAGACCTATATCACTAGTCCCCTTTAAATACCTTAACATCCATTTTAAAGCTTCCCAATGCTCAGGGCCAGGAATAGAAATGTATCTACTAAGAGTACTAACAGTGAAAGCTAAATCTAGTCTAGTGCAGACTATCAAATATATAACAGATCCAATCACATTAGAGTATGTAATCCTACTTATGTATTCTATTTCTTTTTCATTGCAAAGAGCTTGATATTTAGATAATACAAAATGATTAGATAGAGGTAATGTAACGGGTTTGCAATCATGCACGTCAAATCTTTTCAACACCTTTGAAATATAAAAGGACTAATGCAAAAACAAAGCAGAATTTGACCTTTGTCGTTCAATTTCCATACCTAAGATTCTTTTAGTTTTACTTAGATCTTTCATGTTAAATTCACCGTTTGTTTTTATCTTACTTCTCCACTTAGGTGATGAACCAACTAAGAGCATATCATCCACATATAACAATAAAAACACAGTCATTATTAGCATTATCACTTTGGAAATATAGGCAATGGTCAAACTTACTCCGTTGAAACCCTATGGTGAGTACAAAGGAATCAAATCTTTTATACTGCTGTCTAGGTGATTGCTTTAGGCCATATAAAAATATTTTCAAAAAACACACATGATCAGGTTTTAGTTTGTGTTTAAAACTTTTTTAGTTGATTCATAAAGATTTGCTTATCAAGTTCAACATGAAAAAAAAAGTTTTTACATCAAGTTGTTCAAATTTCCAGTTAAAATGTGCAACCAATACAAGCATGACCCTAATAATGGTGTACTTAACAACTAATGAAAACATATCATTATAGTCAACCCCTTTATTCGGTGTATATCCCTTGACCACTAATCTAGCCTTAAATCTTAAGGGTTCAGATACACTAGTACCTCCTTAACCTTAAAGACTCACTTACAATGAACTGTAGATTTATTCTTATGTTTAGGTATTAGTTCTCAAGTTTGAATCTTTTTAAAGAACTCATCTCATCTTTTATTGCCTTATACCACTCTTCAAATTGTTCATTTTTTATCGCCTCCTTAAATGTTTTTGGCTCTCTATCAGCTAGCTCCTCATAGCTAGCATGAGCAAAAGCTAACTTAGATTCATATCCAAATCTTCTAGGTGCTCTTGACTGTCTTATCTCTCTATCCCTAGTTAAGTTATAATCTGCTAAGGAATTCTCTTTATCGGGATGTTCTTTTATCACTACTTCCTCTCTATTCTCTACCTCATCAACCTGAGTCTCCACCTCACTAGTGGTAGCAGGGACGGATGTCCTAAGTTTTCATAACTCTACCTTCAATAGATCTCTCTCTTCACGTTGTTCTTCTTCACTTATAAGTTCAGATTCAGTTTTAAGGCACGGCATTTCGCTCTCGTCGAATGTAACATCTCTACTTATAATGATTTTAGCCCTTTTTGGCTTCTATCACATAACCTATAACCCTTGACACTATCAGGATAACCTAGAAAAACACATTTTCTAGTTCTAAATTCAAGCTTTCCCTTACTCTGATGAGAAAATGCAGCACAACCAAAAGTTCTTGATGTGATCCATGATACGAAAGCAAGTGGGCCTATGACTAGGTTGTGAGCAAAGCGGGTCAAAGAAGTAATGTGACTACTTGCTCAAGTTACGGTGGACGAAACATTGATCACGGTAAGCAAATTGACAAGTTTCATGCTGGGCATGAGAGATGAAACAAAGTGGAGCAATTTGATTCAAGTAAGGGATGGAGAAGCTGGAAGGAACAACTATCCGACCGCATAGTTGTTCAGGGCATGCAGTCTCATTTCCCTTTACTGACCATACAGTGGAAGAGCTCAGATGGTCTATACAAAAGCATAGATTTACACTGTGCGGCCGCATAGTATATTTTTGGTCGTGAATTTTTCAAATTTCGCACAATCTTTTATTTTAGTTAAAACTCTATTTTATGATATCTTTTGTTATTTTTAGAGTTTAATTCCATTTTTTATGGGTTTTATGGATTCTATATAAATAAGATTATTATTTTTATTGTACAACACACAATTATTCTTTTTTAGGGGTTTCGTAGCTACTATTGCTACGTGGGTTCGTATCAGAGTAAGGCTCCAAAAATTAAGGTCATATCTTTTTTTTTTTTTTTTGAGTCTTTTGTTTTTATTCTTCGTGTTCCTCACGTTCTTCATTTTTAGTCTCTAATCCATAAAATACAAAAAAAAAACCGTAACTTATTTATGTACTAATCTAGTATTCAAATTAGTTTCTGTTTCTTTTGCTGGTATCTAATTGAATTTTCGAGCAAAAAAAATCGAAAAATTAGAAAAATTGTCAGCAGCATACAATTTCATTTTTTGAGTTAAAAAGTTCCAAATTCAAAAGTTTCCTATTCAAATTCAAAGAATACATTTTTAAATTTTTCCTTAGTGTTCTATTCAAAGTGTCAATTTCTACTTCTTGAGTTATTCTAGAGTCAATTTTTCTTACTTAAATCTTTGTTTGAAACTCTACAAGGATTGAATTTTGATTGAAATCGAATTAGTTCTTTGAAGCACTTGCAAGAAAGTATTGAGTGGAAAAACGCAGGAGTGGTAACACTAATAAAGGAAAAAAGTCAATTTGAGTGATACACGAGCGTATACGTGTGAGGCAAATATTAAATTAGATTTAGGATGTCAGATAGAGACGACTCTACTTCAAGCTGGAATAATAATCAAGTGTCAACATGTCGAATGGGGTGATAAGACAGTTCGAAAGGTTGTTTGAGGATGTGAGAGACAAATTGGATAGACAAGATACATTGCTTGCTAATTTACATAGGGAATAACCTAAAGAAGTTTCTAATGCAAAGAGGTAAGAAAGGCGGGATCATAGAACAGATTTTGCTGGTGAATGTGAAACAGACAATGACATTAATGATGATGCATTGGTGGATAATCAAATTAGGAAAAATGAAGGATAGATGAGTTAACATGAAAGGATGTGTAAAGATCTTGTTGGAGATGGTGTTGATAGAAGTATGAACAATATCAAAATGACAATTCCTTCATTCAAAGGGGGGAGTGATCTGATGCATACTTGGAGTGGAAAAGAAAGTAGAGTTGATATTTGATTGCCACAACTACTCGAAGGAAAAGAAGGTAAAGATTGTGGTATTTGAATTTACCGATTATGCTACCATTTGGTGGGATCAAGTAGTAACATCTAGGAGGATGAACCGTGAGAGGCCTATTAATACTTAGGAAGAATTGAAGGCTATCATGAGAAAGAGGTTCGTGCCTAATCATTATTACATGGAGCTTCATCAAAAATTGTATAGCCTCTACCATGTTTCTAGGAGCATGGAGGATTATCACAAGGATATGAAGATGACTATGATTAGAGTGAGGAGGATAAGGAGGCCACCATGACCCGATTTTTAAATCGTTTGAATAGAGATATAGCTAATGTGGCAAAGTTGTATCAATATATGGAGTTGGAAGACATGATACATGTAGTTATGAAGGTGGAAAGACAATTGAAGAGGAAGGGACAACTAGATATTCATCGGGTTCTAACTTTCTTGGAAATTAGAGTGGGATAACAATAAAGATGATGGGGTTGTTTCAAAAAGTAGGACTTAGTTACCAAAGGGAAATGA